AAATATTTAATATTAATATTCAAGGCCTACTTTGCTCTGACAGGCAAGGGTTGTTTTCCTGTGGAAATTCAAAAGCTTACGTCTCAATGGACTTTTGGATGGTGTGTGCATCACACCTGTTGTTAAGTAGCGATTCAGTTCCACCTGCTGATGAATTCAGGATAGCCAGAGGTCAGGCTCTGCACTATGGAAGAAATAAACTGTTCAATTAACAAGTTGTATAATACAACAAAGAAATGTGGTTGGCTATGGTGTTGCACCGTTGGACACCTTGTAGTGTAGTTTGTACACCAGCCTTACCAAAAATTTGGTGGGTGAATCTGTTTTTTTCAGGTACGCTAACTTGTTTGCAGGGCAGTGACAGTTGGGGGCACTCTTTTCTAATTTAGGCTGTGATACTTGGCAGTAACCAGGTACTAGCTCTATGTTACATAGGGCTACCAATAGTAGGTCCCAACATATCTTTCAGTGTATGTAATTTGGGTCCGTTTGATTGAATATAAGGAGACCGTGGAGCCACTCTTTTCAGTGCCACTCTATTTGGCAGTCATGGACCAGGAACAAAACAGCAGTGTTGAGCGTGTCAGTGTGCCCTGTAAGGGTTTGCTGTGGGAGCCTGCTGTAAAGTTTTCTATGTACTCCCGACACGTTTGACACTTCAAACATGTCAGACCCGGAATGTTGCAGTTTATTTCCCTTTAACTGTGATTTTATTAATAGCTCTTTTACATCAGTGAATACAGACTACACACTCACGCATACATACACACCACAGGCTACAGTCAAATGTTCCACAGACCTGCAGCTCATTAGATTCAGTCATTGTGGTCACACACAGTAGCACTGTGATGTTTCTCATCACGTCATGGTTACACCACTGCGTCAGCTCCTACAGGAGCCCAGGAAGATTTAGTATTTTCCAATTCAATTCAGCTGTAATCACCACTGCTCCACAGCTCTGAATCCACTAAAGATGTTTGTCCTCTGCCCAGTGTGTAGGTGATCTCCATGACTTTATTCTTAAAGGTCATACTCACAAATTGGACTACATACCAATACCTGTGCTAAAATAATGAATCACCGTCTTTCTTCAGTACCACAGGTGACCCTCAATGCTCAACTGTCACAAAAGCCTTAAGATGCACTCCTTAGTAAGAGCCTGTTCAAAATAGAACCAGTGCATTCTTTACCACCCAGCCACCGTCATTAAAGCATTACATGGAGCCACAGTAGGGTTTCATTGTCAGGCATTAAATACAGTGACATGACAATGTGCTCAAAAAGGTAAGCTCTAGTGCTCTTATCACACCTGGCATAAACATGAATATGTTGGGTTGATGGCTCAGACTACATTCAGAGGTGGTCTGGGATGCATGAGGCCACATTCTTTTAACTGTGAATGTGACCTGGGCCACACTAACGGACCACCAATTCACCTGACATCCTCTATGTAAGACGTGTGTGTGTTCCTTCTCAAACAAATAAAGGTGAAGAAATGGAGTGCCAAACATCTTGAGCAATATGTTTTTTGCCTGGAGCTGTGAACACACTTGCTGAACACAGAGTAACCAATGTGCTTGTTAATACCAGGTCTGAACAGAGTTCTCACATAAAATCTGAAACTTCACTTATCTGACTAAACAGGAGTTTATGATTGACAAATTCTTGTTTGAGGAATTCAAGTGAGGGTAGGTTATTGTAAAATGTTATAAAGTACATGGAAACAAACAAAAATGGCTTTAACATAATATATATTGCACAAATACTGCAATCCAGCCTTTGTCCTGGATGTGTTTGTTCACATTTTGTTCTGGTGAAGTCATGTCCCTAGAACTGACTGATCGTTCACACTGGTCCAACAAATAATTTTTAATTTATTTGATCTTTTATTTATCTTCATCACAGCAGGAAGAACAACTAAGTATTTTATAAAAGTCTCTCTGGAGAGTCCACATGTTATAGTTTAATGCTGATTATCGCTCTACTTTGGACTGAGCTCACATATTTAATTTTATTTTTCATAATCCGCATATTGACGCTGAGTGGCAGAGGATTGTTTCATGGAGTGATACAGTTTTAAGTTACCAAGTTTTAAGTTTTCCTAAGCAGTCACTCTCTAACTTGCTTTCTGTTCAGCACAAAGGAGGAGGGGTTGTGGCAGGCCTGACGTAGGACTGATCAACATACACATTTGAAAAGTCTAACATTACAGTCAAAAAATATTTGACTGTAGGAATAACATGTATGCAAGTAAAAATGTTCCTCCATGTGGAACTAATAAAGGATTATCTTAAATTCAGAGGATAAACCCCCTAAACCAATCAGTGCTCATGATCTTGAATTGGTGGTACATATGAAGGGGCTATTGTGAGAACTGTTGGGTTTCTCTAAAAAAAAGTCTTGACCTTCTATGTAGAGTGCCCTGAGATAATGTATATTATGATTTGGTGCTATACATAAAAAGATTTATTGAATGGTGGCACTATTAGATTTGACAGGCCAAGCCCCTCACACAGTTTGTTCGATTGACTTGAAATTTCCCACACAAGTCCAGCTTAATGTGTTCTACTATAAAGTCTCTTGGATCAGAAGTGTCTGTCATGATTGATTTTTGCCAATTTGCATAAATGTGAAAACAGTTGTCACAAATGCTTTGTTTTTCAACCCATCAGCACGAAATTCAATAAATAGCATATTGAGACTGAGATATACATTCCTTGCTAAAAAATCATGGCTGTTAACCATAAAATTTTGCCACGGGCGGGGCTTAAAGGGAAAATTACCATAACTTTTAGAATATTGGGCCAATCATCGTGAAACTAATTCAATATGTTTATATCGTATTGGAAAAGAGGGGTGCTTAAGCATTTTGAATTTCACCCATAGGGAGCACCAAAAACTTTCCTATTGAGCTGCTTCCTGTTATTGAGCCACCTGTTCCTATTGAGCTGCTTCCTCTTATTGAGCTGCTTATTCCTCTTATTGAGCTGCTGCTTCCTCTTATTGAGCTACTGCTTCTTCCTATTGAGCTGCTTCCTCTTATTGAGCTGCTTCCTCTTATCAAGCTATTTCTTCCTATTGAGCTGCTTTCTCCTATTGAGCCGCTTCTTCCTTTTGAGCTACTTCCTCTTATCAAGGTGCTTCCTCCTATTAAGCTGTATCCTCTTATTGAGCCACTTCCTTCCTTTTGAAACACTTCCTCCTATTGAGTGAATTAAGGCTTGAACCCGCTGATTGCCGCTTGAGGCTATATTTGTATTATTAAACTTATTGAAATTGTTTTTATTTTACTACATTTTTATCCCAATCCACCTATCATTTTATGTCTTGCTCTTTATCCACATGGTATAGGGACTGCTACTTCTGTGGTAGCTGTCAATCTGTGCTGCACATTGTGCATCTACCTGGAGTGAAATGTGATATATAAATAAAGATTTGCTTGCCTGCTTTCATTGTGAACTGTGTGACTACATTTTGTTAAACATACATATACTGTATGTTCTGAACTTGCAGCCCCTTACGTCTGACATGGTCCAGACTGGAATTGTTCCATTGTGTCAAGATATGATACTACTGACAGGTACTGTGTATGTATGTCTGTGTGTAAAGTCAAAATATGTCCATTGGCCTGACACAAACACACACTATAAAGGGACAAACTTGGATTATGATGAATGTTGTGTCACATTGAAGAGTCATTCAGATTAATAATGCAAATCTTCAATCATGATGAAAATTAAGTTTTTGATGCAGTGCAAATGTTGACACTATGAACAGGTTCAGCTTTGAGTGTGTGGGTGTGTTTGTCCTACTCTTGTGTTTCATTAGAGTCTCCCCTCACAGCGAGTATGTGTCCTACATCATCCCAAACTAGTTTCATGTAACATTTGCTAATCTCTCAAAAGTAAACACAAATGAGGCCAGCTAAAACATAAAAACACCAACTAGTGTCTCCCCACGCCTTCAACAAAAAGACAGACTGATAAACAGATAGTGAGGTTTCACCTTAATTCACTGAGACTCCCTTTAGACCAAGAAGGAATGGGACATGCTACAGTTATAAAAAACAAGGACAGGGTCCACCTGCTTAAAAAGAAACCTGTTAAACAGCTTTAACTCATCACAGTCTTCCTTCCCTCCACCTCCCTTCCAGTGTGTGAATTAATATATTTGTAAGACTTCCTTTTTCACCTTCCAGCCAGGTGACTGGGCTCACTTTTTTCTAGTCAGGCAGCAGTGCGGACATCCTCATTCCAGGACTTAGTCATTGCCGTAGTCCCCACTACCGGATAAGCGGTTGCTGAGGTCAGCCCCCCTGACTCCAAGCAGCTGCTGGTGAAGAGGTCATCAGGGTCGTGACACTTGAGCTGTGAGAGTGGCTTTATCAACAGGGCCATTGCAGTGTGCTGGTTCTGAGGCTTCTGATCGGCTGACTAAGAGGTGACTGTGTGGCCTTTGTCTTGTGTAGGGCTGGTGATTGGGTCTGTTTAAGTAGTGGGTGGGTCCGAGCCACAGTGTCTCTGCCAAAGGCGGCTTGTAACCCTCCTTGGAACCTCAATCTTCTCCCACACGATTGGTTTCCCTTTCAGGGCTGCTATCCTCTACAGGGAGGAGAGAACAAGACATTCCTTTACTTAACTCAGACATCTGCCATTTACTTGATACTACACTTCGCTACAGCCACTCTTTTCATGATTAAATAATCATGAATAGAGTGTTATTTGTTGTGTTCTGACTAAATTCCCCTTTGAACAGAGGACTATCTGTGTAGGTTTGAAATTAAAATGACTAGTCCAATCGTAGTATAAAGCAGCTGATGCAACTGTTCCCCTCCAGAAATGGTTTAGGACATTAAAAGCGATATAAAGAAAACCTGTTTGAAATAATAAATTGTCTGATATAATTTTTCCACAAGAAAGTTCAGTTATCATTAAGAATATTACAATTTATATCTAATTCTGCTCCATCACTGAATTATCAAGATTTTATGAGTATGCATGATTGTTTGATTCAAAAGTTGAAAAGTGAAGTTTCAATTTTGAAATGATAGTTTGACAGAGAGATGTGTTACTTAATATATTATCTTTTAAACATTGGTTGTATAAATATTCATCATGGTCAGACTTCTGAAATGCTGCTAAAGTGCGCCCCCTGCTGGGAGAAAAGATAACTATGGGCATCCGTTGTGAGTCTCAGTCTCAGTCGGACTGGAGACTTCATAATAACTGTTCTGCAGAAGATTCATTTATTTAAGTTGAGCTGTGGCTCATGGGGGTGTTGTCCACTAACCAGAAGTTGGCAGAACAATCACCGTCTCCCCTATTCTGCATGTTGAAGTGTACTTGAGCAAGATACTGAACCCCAAGTTGCCCCTTTTGGTTATGCAGACAGTGTATGATTGATGCATGACAGAGGAAGTGCACTTAGATGCATTGCATGAATGTGTGAGAATGGCAAAACTGAACTGTAAAGCACTTTGAGTGGTATAAATACAGACCATGATGACTGAATGTAGTTGCACAAATGGGGTCAGATTAGAGGTTCATTGTGCAAAGAAGGACTAATACAATTTGTGCTGAACACTGAAGTAGATGTCAGAGAGAGTTTCTCAGATTCTCAGAAGACAGGACTGATGTCAGATTGGGGTTATGGAGATGACATAACAGGGGGTGTCTTTGTGAGTTGTATGCCTTGTCTGACGCCCGGATGGTGGTGGTGGACGGTTCCTCCTGGCGGTACCTCCTGGTGATTTGTCAGTTCCTCCTCTAGCTGCTGGGACTCCTCCCTCATGGCAGACAGAAAGTCAGCAGGTGACTGGCGAGGAGGCATTGATTTCTCCCCGTAGTTATAGAGACCTTTCCACATTCTAAAGACAATAGAAAAATAGAGAGATTATAATATTTAATAATATAATACAAAATATAATATATCTTATATAATATATATATATCTTATTTGTAGACTATGTCTGACTGCATAGACACACAGGAGAGCTTTCTCTTTTCATAAGAAGGGTAAAGATTAATATTAAATGTTTTTGTAAAGTAAGTGTCTTAAATAAATAAAATATACACAATATATTGCTATACTATTACTATATTTTGAAATGAGAATAAATAAATAGGTCAGCTATATTTTTTTGGTCTTTACAGCTGTCAAACACATATTTATCATCCTCCCCTGAACTAAGAATAGCATTATAACTGTGTATGTGTCAGAAATACCCGGTTCAATTCAATATGTAGCACTCAATCATTACATAATTTGTCTCTAGGCACATTACATAGTAAAGTAAAAACCATAAAAATTATAGAGCAACTCAAAAGTTCCCACAAGGAGCAAGCACTTTGGCAAATGGAGAGAGAAAAAAAAGCTTGGTGGGCGGCCATCTGCCTTGAGTAAGGGGTAAGAGAAGAACAGTGGTGGAGTATAGGTCAATGGAAAAGAGGGGAGAGAAGAGAGAGAGACCAAGAAGAATTTTGTAACCATTTGTGTTGCCTCTGGTGGTCAGTTGTTCACAGTGGCTGTGAAAAACTGACCAGCTCACTGCTGATCAGCCTCAGCTCTGCTACTCATTTTTTACACCGGATTTATATTGAAAAATGACTGAAAGAGTGAGTGTCAGAGAGTGTGTGAGTGTCAGAGAGTGTGAGAGTGTGAGAGAGTGAGAGAGAGAGAGAGTGAGAGAGAGAGAGAGAGAGAGACAGAGAGAGAGAGAGAGAGACTGACTACTGCTCATCACCTGAAGTTCTTGTTAATTTTTAGTATAACTACAGCCTTAAGTTGCCTTAGTACCTTGCCATCTACTCACTAATATGTTGATTGAGGGGTAAACTTTGTTAGAGCAGAATCCAATACAATTGAAGTAACTGGTGACCTTTTCTTCATATGTAATACAACAACAGAAAAAACATAACAAGCCTCCATACTACTCGTGTGGTGTCATCCAAGTGTCCGCAAGCCCCAGCATTCATATTTGACTCGAAATGTCGTTTACATCTCGAGTGTAGCAAAGTGAAGCTAGAGGACGTTATTTCAATTGTATCAGATTCTGCCACAATAAAGTTTATCGCTGAGACCCCTAAAGTGTTTGGTAGTTTTGAATCCACCAAACACTTGAGTCATGACATAGTGGTGACTAGATAATGAGTGAATTTTCATTTCTGGGTGAACTATCCCTTTAAGGTTTCAGGTATGAAAGTACAGTATTTCCAAATATAAAGGTAAGAACTGCTTGTACTCAAATAAATACCAGTACTATACAGTATGAAGCCGTGCATCTTCTACTCCTGCAAATATTCCAAAAATAAAACTCTAAAAAACAAATAAATAGATCAAGTCAACAGAAACACTGGAGTGCATTTATTTTGAAAAGGGTAATATATCAATAGTGTCCTCGCAGCAGTAGCTGCTCCAGCCCGAATAATAATAATAATTGTTATCTGGATCCTGAGTGAGAGATCCCTGCAAAATATTCATTTAAATTTTATTTGTATAGCACCAAATCATAACATACATTAGCTCAAGGCACTTTACATAGTAAGGTTGAGACATTCCAAAATAGAAACCCCTAACAGTCCCTTCTATGAAAAAAAATAAGGTGGGTAGAAAAGAGGGAAGAGAAGAGAGAGGGGGGTGGAGGGGGAGAGAGAGGAGGGAGACAAGAGAGAACCTTTTTACTTCAGTGACTCACTTGAAGCAGTAGGGTGTGGTGTTGGGTCTCAGTACACCCTGACTTTGACTCAGATCTGCCTTGTACAGGGGGTTGGTGTACTCGCCTCTGTCCTTCCACAGGTGAGGCCACATAGAGTGACTCCGCTCACGAAGCCTGCATTCAAACCAAACACACAATCCATTAATACAATTATTCAATCTTTGATACTGCTCTGTAACTTTTGTGTTCTCTAGCTATAAGAATTGCATAGCGCCCCTGGCGCAGAGCAGTGTCCACTAACCAGAAGGTCAATGTTTCAATGTTACCTTGGCTTCTCCATGCCGATGTGTTCTTGGGCAAGACACTAAACACTAAGTTTACCCTGTGCCGTGTGTAAGTGATTTGTGATATATAAGTGCTGCACATACATGTACTGTATGAATATGTATACTGTAAAGAGATCTGAGTGGTCATCAGGAGTACAAAGTGCTACATAAATACAAACCATTTACCAAAGTTTACTCCCCTATATTTTTAGGTGATTGTTGTTAAGGAGCTGACAGACAAAATCTAGATTTTGATCCACTATTTATCTATGTTCTTGAGAGCGTCATCCGAGTAACTTCACTCAGCATTGCATTTCCCTGGGTTCAGAGACATACACTTGCCTCAATATAGCAGTTGCCATCTGCCTCTCTTAACTTGTGAATTGTCACCGGGGCAGCGTATAGCTCACCTGGTAGAACTGCCACCCCATCGAGGCTCAGCCTCACCAGTAGTGGCCCGGGTTTGATTCCAACCCCTGTGCTGCATGTCTTCCCCCACTATCTGTCTGCCCCCCTTTACAGTTTGCTCTCTGTTCTTTCCAATTAAAATAATAAAAAAGCCCCCTAAATTCATAAAATATAATAATTGTGAATTATCTGGAAGCTCCACTGCCCTTTTCTTCAAAAACATGTAGAAAAGCAAAAGACTTCAGTCCAAACTGCACCCACTTGGGTCCTCAGCAATCCACTCAGCATGTTTAAACTCAACCAGATGGGCAAAATAAATAAAGACAGCAGACACATTTTGAAAAATGAAAAGGACCTAACCTTTAGAGCAGCCGACAGACATCCACACCAACGTGCCACAGATTTACTGAGGACAGGGCAAATGTGATGGCAGTAAAATAAATTGCATCATTGTCCTGGGTCACCAATAAGGTCACACTGTACTGTTTTTTTTTTGCAACCTTATTTAACTGCAATGGAATTGGATATTTTGAGATAATGTGCCTAATGTAATGTATCCTTAAGTATCCTTTTAAAATCTTGTTTTTGATTACCCAAATCATTATTTCTTTCTTTCTTTCTTACTTTATAAACAAAAACAGTTTTTGGAATTTCTACATCAAGTTTACACACATACAAAAATATACTATTCAAGAAGTCAGAAAGGAAAAATTTAAATATTTTCAGCATCTGCAAAGACCCTATACAGCCCGGCCACACATCACCAAGTCCAGGGGAAACAACCAATGAGCCATGCACAGCTCCACTAAGTCAAATTTATTTTAGCAGGTCTTTCACTCATTTATTGCTCCTCTCTGAGTCTCTATTATTCACGCTGTGCACTGAAGCAACTGCATCAAGCCAATCCGAACATGCAGCCATCTCTTCCGGCTCTCCATAAATTGTCAAAGTTTACAAATTCTGTTGTTTTTACCCAGTCTGAGTTTACAAATGTATCCAAGTGTGTGTGTATGAGAGAGATAGAGAGAAAGAGAGAAAGTGGGCAGCGGAGTCAGTGTGTGTATCTGCGCCATTACTTTCCCCTCACATTCTGGGATTATCATAAATAAGCTATGCAATTCTTATATATACATAGACATATATACATTTACACTCATACTGATGAATTTGACCCAGGACAAACATGATCACTACAAGTTTCCATAGTAGAATTGGGTCGGAAGGAGGTGGACCATGATTAATGTATAACAATAATATAACATTGACTAATTGACAGAAAAACCTCACATCAGGCGTCCCAGCTAGGTGCGGTGCCCTGGGTAACCATGACAATGGGCAGTATTTCTGGTACTAAAACATTCCATGCACCTTCTTAAGGGTATATGTTTTAGTGACAACAGGCAACTCCACCGTAGTGGTATACATCAACCGCCATGGCGGTACACGATCGCTGCAATTGCACAAGATAGCTCTGAAGATAATCATGGGGAGCAGCACCAGACTCTCTCTCAGAGCGACACATGTGCCGGAGGACCAGAGGAAACACCCTCTAAGGCTGTGGCTGAGTGGATAGAGCAGTTGTCCTCCAAATTCTAACCAGAAGGTTGGCAGTTTAATCCCAGTCCTCCCCATCTGCATGCCGAAGTATCCTTGGGCAAGATTTTGAGTGGTCATCAAGACTAGAAGAGTGGTACATAAATACAGTTCTTTTACCATTGTAACATACAGAGAGTGGAGCTGGTGGCATTTCACCCGCCTCCACTCTCCACAGGGGAAGAGAAGTGGCCTAATACACTGTGCCCAGTGTGGGCTGTGCATGTCATGTACATGAGTAGAACAGCCCGGTTCAGGTGATCAGCAGTTTGTGTCCTGTGCAAATCTCCATAAGGGAAAGCCATTGTCCCACCAGAGGCTGTCTCACTGGATTGTGAAGGCTATATCTCTCGGCTACAGTAGGTAAAGGTAGTAAAGGTATGTAGCCCCCTTCAACATTTGAGGGTGTAGTGACCTTGTGGGCTCTATTTAGGGGAGTCTCCATACAGGACTCACACTTTTTCAAGGTTTTACAGATATTCAGGCCATTCTAGTACAAACAGTGCTAGAGGCAAACACATCGGGGTCCAGGTAATGTTTTTTACGAGATTTAAGCAATCCGGGAGTGATCTATATCTCTCATAGTTAAACACTGAACGATGGGTAATAACATAACATAATCCCTGGTTCTTTGGTAACAGAGTGAGGTGTTTCACATCATGTCCCTCCTTGCATTGACATGGAAAGAAACTGGTCTAGAGTGATTCAAAAGGGGCTGTCCAACTGTGATAATCGGAGGGGGTGGCCCCCTCACACAGGTCGACCTGTCTGTCAAGGCACAGTTTTGTCACGCCGAGGCGATTTCCCATAGTAAAGCATCTCGCTGTGATATCAAAGAACCAAGGATTATGGTAAGTAAACCATTGTTTCTTTGTGGCAAACATAATGTAACAATTAAATATCAACTCGTAGCCAACATGATATTCACTGCGTTAACACAGGGTTAGGGTTAGATACACAGATAAGAAATGTCGACATTACACTTTAGGATTGTGGGTACTGTAGTACTTCTCCTTGACATGATGAACAAAACATGTTTTTCCCAAAACTTAGGTATTTAATGTAGGTATCATACAGACTTGTGGCTCTCTCATCGATTGTGGTAAGTCTACCTTGGAAAGTTATAGCTGAAACTCTTTAATTAGTAAATAAGATTTTAATCCTTGACCACACTGCTGAGCTCTATTTTAAAATAAAGACTAACTTCTTTAGTCTTTAGTGTCTACATCAGTCCTACCTCATATCCCTGCGCTCCCTCTGGCAGTTACCCAGGAAGGTCCCGTACTGACAGGAGTACACATGTGAGTGTATGGCAATGAGGAAGTGTTCGTTGAACTCAAAGGCACATGGGAACTGTTCTGACAGCTGCCACACACACTCCAGGAACTGGTCAATGACAGGGGATACCTCTTTGGGATCTCCATCCAGGTGGGCGTACCTGCAGGACAGAGTATTCACATTACTGCACACCCCAACACGCTCTTCAAAACATCCTGTACGCTGACTTGTTATCTTTGATGTACAGTATAATACGTATATGTGTATAATAATAACAGTGATTTTCTATCTTAACGGACACTTTAACTTGCCTACAAGGGCAGCCATGTATAATTTGTGATATAATTCATATTTGTATTTAATTATTGTTAATTTTAAGTTTTAAGTTTAATCATTGTTTTAATTATTTTTTATTTTTGTTGAGATGTAATAACAGACATAGATTAGTAAAAAAAACATACATATGTTGGCTTCACAAAGTAACTAGCACCCTTCAGTTTATGCACACTGTATTGTGTTGTAGATTTAATTGCAACTGAAACTATTACCCATCAAGCTACACTCAATGACCCCTTATGATAAAGTGAAAATCTTGGACAGAGCAAAAACTGGACAAACTAAACACTTTTGCATTTTTATGACATCTGAAGTTCACCACAGGTTCTCTTTCATGTTTGGAAGGGGAGAGTGAGGTGAGGGGCATTCAGCGGCAACATGCAACTTCACCACTAGATGTCACTAAATGCTACACACTGAACCTTTAAGCAGTTGTTACAACACTGAGGAGTAACCACAGCAAAGAGTCTTTTTTAAATGAAAGATCTTAGTTTGTGATTTTTTATTAAATTAAAAAAGTATTAAAATAAATATTTATTTCACTATGTCATTGTGGCTTATTGAGTTTAAACTGATAAGTACCATGGGGTCTTTTATCCATTTAAAATTAAATCTACAACACAATAAATTTAAATCTGCTAAAAGTGAAGCCACTGCAACCTTCCTCCAATTCAAGAGTGAGTTAAGTCTGAAAACACAAACAATTCACTTCAGAAGTGGCAGCTCTGTACGATTAAACCGCGTTAAACGACTGGATAAGATCAAAAACGGTATTTGGCCGCATCATTGTGATTTTTGATTTACCTATAGATTTGTAGTCTTAGAAATCAATATCAACTTAAACCATTTTCTCTGTGTTTCTGACTTTCTCTACCTATCGCACTCTGTTACAGTCTGTCTTTTAGTTTCCAAATATAAACTCACAGAACTACTTCTGGATTCCTTTCTCTGCTATCATTCTTTTCCAAACTGTGGCATCAGTCACAGACAGTAACCAAAATAAAGCTCAATTTTCTGTTCATTAAAGGCCTATACATATTTTATTGTTGTCTAACAGGAAACATGTGATTTAAACTGGCGTTTCCCATTTGGAAAATCAAAATGTAATCGGATCTGTAATCTGAGACGAGCTGCGTCGAGGATGGCTGCTGTGTCTCAAGCGCAAGCATTTGCACCACTTTTTAATTTTTTAATTTTATAAGTTCTATTTCATTTTTTATATTTTCTATTCTATTCTATTCGTCTGAGAATGGCTAAAGGGGAGCCTGGGACTCAAGCATTTCTTTGCCAGCAAGTGCTAAATGTAATTTATGCATATGACAATAAACCCTTGAATCTTGAATCATAGCATGCATGAAATTAAACACAGTTATTATAATTACATTGCTCTGCAGACAGTAACTGACCTGTGGGAGAACTTATGTCCAAAGGAAACCCAGTCTCTCTCTATCAGCACCTAGAAGGGAGGCAAACAGAAATCTACCAACTAATTCCACAAATCTCTAATCCACTTCTCACTTGGCATGTGTATTCTTTGTGGTCATGGGAAGTGCAGTACAGATTTTGGTATGATTTGGACAAACAGTTCAATATTTATAAAAAATGTATAAACGTGCAATCAGTGCTTGGTAACGATCAGCTCATGTGTGTGTGTTGGTTGGGAGGGTTGTGTGAATGAAGTATGAATTAATAAGTATAAAATGGGAGGAAGGAAAAAAACCTTTGACACAGCCCAGCTTAAGGCAGGAACAAATTTCTTTCAACTCCTTCTGTATAAAACGTATGAACATGGAATGAGCACAAATTGTTGTTTCACTGCACAGCCGACAATGGAGACTATAAAAGAGCTGACTTTGACGCGTTAACTTATAGAGTCTTGAACCAGCAACCTTCCACTCACTCTATATATACAGTATTTACACACTAGTGACACTATGGCCTCAGAGTCAGTTCATACAGTGTGTGTCAAACTAAAGCCCATTATAGAGAGTACACAATGTGATTAAGTGAAATGTTTCATCTCTTTTTCAAGAGGCTTCTTCAGTTCAGTTTGCTAGGTCTTGTTCATAAAGAACAGATTCATATGTTGTGGCCCGAGTAATTTATCCCGTTCCAACGATTCAATAAGTCGTGGCAATGCACAATTTTATCCAGAAATGTCACCAGAGGGGCTCTGTGATTATGCATGTACCTGTTACAATTTCAGTTTTCCAAAAAACTAAAGAAATGTGAATATAATTCAAGTGTAACATTTTATCATATTATCACCAGTAGAGGTAGAGTGGAATTGTCTTGCAGGGGCAGGTCTCTTAATTGGAGAAACTAATTCCTTTGGGTGGATGATGGGCAGATGAGTCAAGCATACATGTGTGGGTGTATTATGTGCATGTGTGTGTTACCATGAGCCCTTTGATGGTTCTGTAGTAGGGATCCAGCAGTATACTTGCTACAGAGCAGGCCTGGGCTGTCCTGTCCCAGCCATCTGAACAGTGGACCAATACACTGACTCCTTCATCAGCTACCGCCTACAGAGGGAGAGAGAGATAGAGATAGAAACTGAGATTAAATTATTAATTTTAAGAGTTTAATTCACCTATACTGGAGGAGGTAATAGAATATAGTAAGGACATGAAGAATGTGGCTTAACCAGGACAGTTTACCTGTTCACTTTTTCACAAGTAGTCAACACCTCGTTCCCAAAACAGAACAACTTCAGTCAGTGACCCTTCACAATAAGATACACTGCTTATGATGACAGGAAACACAATTGAATAAGGGAGTTAATGGTCCTAAATAATAACTTGAGGTTGTGAGGATTTGTGAGAGACAAGGATGGTTGCATGGTCAGACACGTGCATGCCTATAGTGTAGAAATTTACTGAGTGAAAGCCATAAGTAATAATTAGATTGAGGGTATGAACATGTTGATGAGTTGGGCCAGACACATGCTGAGTACAGTCAATAGTATGAATAAGATCAAGAAAGTCAGAGGCAAATTTGTCATTCTGGTTGTCGATATGAATATTTAAGTCCCCTAAAAGTACAACTTTATCATAATTGGTGGTAGTGATGGAAAGTAGGTAAGCAAATTCAGTCACAAAGATACCTTCAGATTTGGGAGGGCAATATGGTAAGGCAAAAAAGACAGAGAGGTGGGAAATAGTGAATGAGAGTGATTAAAATTACATAAAACTGCCAACATGAAAAGGTTTACATTTTAGTGTGACTTTATAAATGACAGCAAGCTCTGTCAATAGCTCCTTTTCCAGATTACATAGGGCAGTTCCAAAATGTACATGTGCCAGGAAATGCTTCAAGGAGAGGGACATCAGTATCTGACCAAGTTTCAACAAGACAAATAAAATCTAGATTATGGGTAGAAATCAAATCATTCAAAGGACTTATTGGCGATAGACCTTAGAGTCCATAGGCAACCATTAAAACAATTATTACTAGAACAAATGAAAGGCTTTGTCTTGGTAGTGATCAAGTCAGGTGGACTCCTATGCCTACAAGTGCCAGCCCTTTTTTATGAGAAGAGCCGGAATAAGCAACACCTTTAGTGAGAGGTTAGCCAAAAAATCATCATATTCAGGTCTGCTTTGTGGTAACTTTTCGGCAGAGACACACTGAAGTCAACTTCTGTGCCTAGTGTTAGGTCATGGCTCCTCATTACCAAGGTAAAAGAGCCATGGGGAAACAATCATGCTGGTTTTAGAGAGTTGAATAGATAGAGGCCATTCAGATGTAGCTTTTGTCTTTTTATCCAATTAATCGAAAAAATTATCAACAGGTTAATCGATTATCAAAATAATCATTGCAGCAGTCCCACAGATTACACTACAGGATTCCGATGGAGCGGTTGTGGAACAAATCCTTGCCTTGGATTTGGCTCCAAGCCTGGGCCAGGGGTCCTCAACAAGAGCCGAGCTGACAGTCGGCGGCTCTGGCTCTGTAGAGACAGGGGGACCAAGCCTGGGAAGCATGGTGTTGTGGCCAGGAATACAGGAGGCCTCGGCGGCCATTTAGTACAAGATTCGGTCATTGTTCTGAATCTGGTATAGATTGGAAATCCGACCTTCGAGTTCAGCAATTTTTTGACTCAGCCGAATCAACTGCAGTCTGGAGGAAATGTGGTATGGATGTGTGTTATAACGGAAGCCTTTTGTGATGATTGAGTTGGCACTTGTTTGGGTTGTGTAGTAGTGGCATTGATCTGACAACTAGACACGCTGTTCAGGCTGCATTTCCATGTCTACGGTGGTCAATTCCTTAGGTCTTCACAAGTCAAGTCTGAAGTTGATAAGTTGAGCAGTTTTCAGGAAAGTGAGAGGGAATTTATATATATAGTTCTATAACCCAATCAGACAGTTCCAGTATTTAAAGTGTGTGTGTATGTGCTTGTGTATGATTATGTCTGATTGTGTACACACCCTGGCAATGAAGACTCCTGCATCCAGTATGGCTTTAATGTGTTTGAGCCAACCCGAGTTCTCCAAACCCCACAGGAAGTCAGTCATTGATGGAGATCGCATTTCACCCACTGCATGGAAGAAATAGAGAGAGAGGAGGTTAACAAACAATCAACCAAACAAACACACACGGGAACATGAACAACATGAACACCACAATATATTATCAAAGGAAGTCTGTGCATTAACTCTCCTTCACTCTGCTGTTTCCCTGTCTCTATCTTACACTGCAGCTTTATATTATTTCCTCAACACAAAAAAACTTCTTCTTACCGTCAATGATTTTCTGCTGGCTACTCCTCATCACGTGAATGTTTTCAATGCCGACGAACTGCAGCTTGATGTTGGTGTAGTGGTCCTCGTTCTCATAGCCTTTACCTGCTGCTCTATTTGCCATGGCATTAAGCTGGACACACAGATGCCACATGTGAAAGTGTGTGTGAATGGCAAAAACTGTACTGTAAAGTGCTTCGAGTGGTCATCACGTGGACTTGAAAAGTGCTATATGGGTGTATGTGAGTGCCTGAATAATGAGGGAAGGTGTTACCTTGGGCCTTGTATCCACCACATAGATGTAGTCACTACCAGGGTTGGACTTCATCACAGCCTGAAGCATCATCTCATCTTCCTGACAACGTCCACTGAAGCCTGACAGTGGTTGACTGCACCGGCACACTGCTGCCTTTAGGGCGACATATGATCCACATCATTGTTATCGTCAGTTTTATGATTACAATCATATTAATCTTTTTATGTGTGTGTGCGTGTGTTCCTGTACAAACGCGTGTGTGTGTCACACTGACCAGTGTGTCCTGGTGGAAGTAGGACAGAGAAGGAAATCGTCCTCGACTTCTGAACCTTGAGCTACCCACAATGATGGCGGGTGTTGCCGACTTTGGAACAAACAGCTCTGAGGGATATGTATCACAGACCTGGGAGGAAAGGAGCACATATTTAACCATCAAGGAAACAATAGTTTACAGTTGATGAGACCTTTCATTGTAAACTAAGGTCCTGTCCACCTTGTATGAGGGGAGAATTGTGAAGATGAAGACTACAGGTTAAAGATATGTTTATTTATCATCAAAAAAACCACCATTGGGTTAGTCCATTTACAATATTTTATGCTTTACCAAGTTTGTTTGTGGAACTCAACAAGATGAAAGGTTTCTACTGAAGAATATTTTTTTAAATATCACAAATATAAAGGCAGCTGTGGCTCAAGAGGTAGAGAGGGTCAGGCAGCTTCAGTGAGGTGAAGAGCAGAAGAGGTGGGAGAGGCAGGCAGAAGGCAGAGGATCTGTGAGGGAGAGACGAGGGGGAGTTCCTGGAGCTGCAGCAGTGAGGAGGAGGAGGAGAGACTGAACCACTGGGACCAAAGGGACCAGACTGAAGGTACACAGGTTTGTGTTTTTATTATATTCCTACATGGTCTGCTTGATATCAACACAAAAAATACAACACAAAGGGCAGCTCTGTGTTTACATGTTACTGAGTAATGTAACTGTAGCATTAGCTGTGCAGTGCACGTCAGTTTTCTGACTGTCAGACACACCACTCAACATTAATTAAATTAATACTGTATAGGAATTGTTTGCTACATTAATATTTTGACTTGTAAACCTGTTGTTGTTTTACATATTTGGAATTAAAAACACATCTCAGCTTACAACCCTTAATCACTGCCATTATCATAGTCAACATAATAGTGCTAATAATAAAGCTGTTGTTTCTCCTTTTTTTATGTTTTCAGACAATCATTCTTATCTATGACCTTAAAAATGTCCCAGGTATAAAGCATATTCACTGCACTTAGCAGAATAAATACTACACTCTGTTTTCTATACGGAGTATATTTAATATAGTGTCCATGCATTAACCTAAACCTTAATCTCTTCAAAAATATTAATACTACTTGAATGACCTCTATTAACAAATCACAATTAGACTGACCCTGTATTCACTGTTGGCTGCTGTGGTGACCCACAGATTATTAGGAACTCCCATCCGCTTGTAGTCGGCCACAAGATCTACGAAACTCCAGGACTCTTCTCTCTCCTCTTTGTTCACATTGGGATTGAAGGACAGGCAGTACAGCTCATTGTACTTCTCTGAGAGAGGACAGGAGAGTCATTTTTATGGAGCTTTCCTGTCTTTATTCAAGAGTGTGGTCTTTCAGTTTGAGAGCATGACATGTTGAATTTATGTTCAGATTGTGTATTACTTTTCATCAAAACCCTTCAATTGCACTCAAATAGCCCCTGTTTGCACTTAAATATTCCCTGCTTCTGCTCAAACTGCATGCTTGCACTCAGATATATTGTTGCTTGCACAGATTTTCCTATGCTCCAGCTTCAGTCCTTCTCTGCACTGGGGCTGCTGTCTGTGCGCTCCTGAATTATCTGCTCTCAAATTTCTCTTCTTCTCTTGGATTTTTTGCCTCGATGCAGGCGTGTTCACTTGACTTCATAGTGTCCCATGCAGGCGGTTACTCTTTACCTGGGTTCGTCCACTCCCGCCCTCCACAGCTTTATTATATGGACTTCCCCAGCGGCTTTTTGATTGCAAGGGCAGGGATTTGATGAAAAGTAATACACAATCTGAACATAAATTCAACAAGTCATGCTCTCAAACTGAAAGACCACACTCTTGAATAAACATAGGAAAGAAGCTCTATACATTTAAAAATATTTTAAACCTTGTCGTTCAACTCACTCATTTACACAATACACAGGAACCCACTTACACACATACACACACCTGGTCGTGACAACCTGACCAATGAGGCATGGACATCCAAACCATCTCTCTCTTGTGGGATGAGGATCCTGAAGACCTGGAAGTCCTTGCAACGTAGGATCAGCTGACTTCCTGCAGGGATGGTGGGCAGCCTCTCCACACTGCTCACCATGCTGTGCAACACCTGAAACACACCAGGGGGTTGTGTACTTTATAATTATAGTGACTAAAGTAGAAGTAAAAGTAATTGAGTATGAGTAAAAATGAATCTCATAAAAAACTACTCAAGTAAGTAACTCCATTAGAGTGTTTTGCCTTAAGAGGATATTAATAGGTAATATAAAGTGCACATTAATTTTAATAAATAAATTTAACTAGGCAAATGCCACAATACATGCTGTTAAGCACTGTTTGCTTTCAAACATCATAAAATGTCAATGTTAACCTTATTAACGCAAGATGGGAAGATGCGGACATTCAAAAATAAAAATACAATTCAATAAATGAAACAAAAAAAATCTGTGTCATATAATATACATCTTCCAAACTAGGTGGTAAGATAAACAGGTATACAGATATATGCAAGTGGTGTTGTTTCAAATGGTAAATGGTAAATGGTTGTATTTATATAGCGCTTTTCTAGTCTTGAAGACCACTCAAAGTGCTTTACACTACAGTTTTCCATTCACCCATTCACACACACATTCATACATAGAGTGCTTCTATAGCTAGCACTTTTTGTTGTTCTATTGGGCAGTTTGGGGTTCAGTATCTTGCCCAAGGACACTTTGGCATGCAGATGGGAAGACTGGGGATCGAACT